AAAAATGAAATTTTGAAATATCATGATAAAATAATTTCTAAAATTAAAGACAAAATTAAAAATAATGAATATGCAAGGGAAAAACTAAATCACAGCTTAAACATTGAAAGATTTCAAAAATAAAGATTAACAGAAGAAGATATTGATGAATTATATAAATTATATAATCCCGAGCCGCAAAAACCAAAGGTGCAAAACGCCCAGGTCCTTCAGACCATAAATGAAGCACAAGCTTTAATTTATGATTCATTAGTTAAACCATATTCAGCCCGACTTTTAAATGAAGATCAACTTTTGGAATTCATCCTTCAACATAAACTCGAAGCGGGAAAGTATATCAAACCTTTATATACAGCATATTTAAAACAAATGAATAGAATACATCCAGAATTAATGAAGGAGGAATGAAATCCAAAATCAAAGCAGATAAAATTAAACCACTTGCAACAACCAAAACCTCCAACGACAGTACCTCCTCCTCCTTCAGTTAATCCTTCATCATTCACTTTATTATATCCATTTCAAACATTAAAGAAGCAAAAAGATTTTAAAAAGGATTTCAAGATATTAAATAAACCAATTGACCCAAAAATTCAACCGTTAAAGGAAAAATTTAGTCGCCCTTCATTTGCTCCATATCCATATTCATACGAAATCGATCATCTGGAATATTCAAAAGGAAACGTTACTTATTTATTTGCCATTAACATTAACACCAGATATTTATATTGCATTCCGGTGAAAGGGAAAACAGAACAGGAAACACGAAGAGCTATTCAATACTTACTAGATCATGAAAGAGTAGATAATATAGGGGTGATGGTGATAAAGGATTTCAGGCAGCTATGGCTCATTATTTCCCACAAATTAATTTTTACTTTTCATCCTCTCCATATACGTTTCATAATAAAATAGTTGATGCGGTAATGAGAACTCTTAGAGATGCGTTAGGGGTTAACGGTCAGATATACTGGGATGGAAATCATGACTCCATCATACAGCAGTTAGTATATTATTACAATAATACATGGCATAGAACTATAAACATGAAACCAGTGGAAATGAAAAATGATATTTCAAAAGAATGGGAATATATTAGAAAGCAAATGGAAAGGTTAAATGATGTTAAACGTGAACAAATTAATTCGGGGCTCATGAATTTTAAACAAGGAAAAAGTTTTAATTCATCTCGATTATGGAAAAACTGATAAATCAATGACAAAAAGAAGACGAAGATTTGACACAATAGCTGAATTTGTTAGATATATTAACGGCAATGCATTAGTTGAAGTTGACAATAAATTAATAGAAATTCCGATTTATTTTATTACTCCATTATATTTAAATATTATTTAATTTTTTTATTTCGTAAGAAATGAGTGACAACAAGCAGTCAAGAGTCCAGACAATGAATATAAAAAGAAACTAAACAGAATTAAATCAAAAATATGCTATTACAAAAAGAAGTCGCAATGTGGTGGGGTTGAAAACGATAAAGAAATAATCGAAAAATTAGAAACTTACGTTCAATCCTTAAACTGAGTGAAGCAAAAATAAAAGAATTTAATAGAATAAATAAATTGATTGGAAGAGATGAATTTAATAAAGATGAATTTTTAAACTCAATCCAAATTTAATTTTTATTCCTCTTCGACAACATCTCTCTTTCCATCATTACTGCATAACCACATTTTCTCAATTTTAGTGGTTTGTTATTTTTAACATGTTCTTGCATCATTTTTATCATTTCCTCCCTTGTTATGATTCGTGGTAAATTTTGAGCTTGTGGGGTATTCATTTATGATAAAAATAAAAATTTGTTATCACTTATTTTATCGTTAATGTTTTTAGGTTATTCAATAATTAATTATTTTTGAAGAACTGAAGGGGTCACCAGGTCACCAGGTGGTCACCAGGTAATTTAACTTCTATGAAAAAATGTGACAACATGACATTTTGACAACAGTCATGGGTTATTCAATAATTATTTATTTTGAAGAACTGATGAGGTCACACCAGGTGTCACCAGGTAATTTAACTTCTATGAAAAAATGTGACAACATGACATTTTGACAACAGTCATGGGTTATTCAATAATTATTTATTTTTGAAGAACTGATGAGGTCACCGGGTCACCAGGTGGTCACCAGGTAATTTAACTTTTCTGAAAAAATGAGACAACATGACATTTAGACAACAGGTATGAAAGGAGGAAGGCAAAAATAAATTCAAATCATACTTTATAAAGCTTCATTTACAGGTATTTCATCGTCAGTAAATGAATCCTCATTATCGTTTGGTTCAACCTGTTTATATAATCCTTTCATTTCTTCTTTCAAAACATAATACCATGTCTGTTTACCATCTATTTTTCTTTGTTTCCTTTCACATTTATCCTTAATACTCATTTGGAAATTCTTGTCTTTCATGTCTGATGGTTTGCAGAATAGAGCATTTTTACACGTCATACCTGCACACAATTCATCATAATGTGTATTTATCCATACATCTAAAGATTTGATGATAATTCAATTAAATCTTGTTTGGCTTCAGTCATCGGTATGATTCGTACATTAAATGATGAAATGTCATATTGCATAAAATACGTCAGTAAATTATCATAAAATTCCTTTGTGCATGAATCCATTAAATTCTTGAAGTAATCAAATTGACCCTTAAATTTACCATTAACTCTTAAAACTACATATCTTCTGTCTCCAACTTCAATTTTGACAGGGTAAACGTTATTAGTTACGAAAATGAAGTTTGCAACATTCTGAGCTGTTCTTCTGGGTTGATTCTTTTCATTAATTCTAATCTCATTATCCGTAATAATTGATTTCAAAGCGTTGAAGTTTGCAAGTCTATCTTCACCCACATTCTTGAGTTCATTAAGTACAAGAAACATTTTATTCTCAACTACTGAGTTGAAATTACCCGTTAGCTCACCTATTTCAGTAATGTTTTTACATGAATAACCAGCGAGAAGTTCAGAAATAATGTCTGTGAATCTGTTTTTACCTGTTCCCTGAAGTCCTTCAAAATAATTGCTGTTTCATTCTTGATTCCAGGATGTTGAATCATTGATGCAATCCAACCGAGAAGGTATTTATACACTTCATCGTTATTATCACAAATGGCTTCTTTAATGAAATTCATAAACATCTCAATTTTTGAGTAATCTGGTTTTCGAGAATGTTGTATTTATAACCTTGAAACGTTGAGAAAACATCTGGGGAATAGATTTAAAGCAAACACCCTTAACGGTTAATGAAGACAATTGATTTAGTAGTACATCCCATGCTGTTATGGTTTTACCTTCTTCTTTAAATAATTTAATCATTTTGAGTGACTCTTTCATGTTTGATTGAAGAACGAATGATATTTGATTCATTTTGTCGTGGATATTATAGTCCTTTTGAATGAAATATTTGTTTCCACAATCTACAAAACGGATTACACGTGATAAATCCTCAATTACTTCAGAACTGTTTTTATACTGATGATTTTCAGCCTTGCGTCTAATATCTGTTATCAAAAATGAATCATCAAGTTTTATATCAAATGTTATTTTTGGCTTACGTAATAAAGGCAAAACATATTCATCATAATATTCCTTTTGATAAAGTTTTAGAATCTTCACTAAAACAAATGGAGAAGTCATTAAATGTGCATATCTACTACGTGCTTTTTCAAAATTACTTTTTGCATTTTCTGTTAAATTGCAGAAGTTATAAACGTTATCGTATGCTTCATTAATCAAATGATTAGGTAACGAATTAATTGCTTGAAACAGTGTGAATAATGTAACTTCTTTTTCTAAATTCATGTTTCCACCGTCATTATGTACTTCAAACTCACAGATGCCATCAACTATGCTTTGAGCTAGTTTATCGTCAATGTTTACATCTTTGTTTTCATTCATTATACTCTTTATTTCTTCATTCTTTTGTTCAACTCTTACCTTAATATTCAAATCATTTAATATATCATTCACTGTTCTGGTTAATGTTGAATCATAACTTCCACGAATGAATGAGTATGTATTGATTGGTTCTGTTGCATTCTTGCGAACTCTTGAATCAGCCATAACCACTAATGAACGCTTTGAATTATCAATAGAAGTCATGATATCAATATCATAATCATTGCAGGAATAGCATTTAATCATTCTGTTCGAGGTTGAATAGAAGAAATTAGTGTTGCAATAAATGTGAAGACCTCCTGATGCAGTTTTAACGATAACATCTTTATCCGAAAGTTTTGATAAAATGTCTTTTCTAACTGTTTCTTTAAGTTCATCATTGTATGATTTATTGATATCAACATCTATAATCGTTAAATTCGAAATTTTATTTACTAATAAAGCTGTACCAGTTTTCCTTCCTCTTCCTCCATCATGTTTGAGGTAATTATGTAAATCAATCTTGTTTTCACCAATTCTTTCGTTGAGGGCTTTAGTTTCTGCCACAACTAATTCCTCAGCTAATGAATCAATAACTTTTTCATCAGAAACGATATAGTTGTTGTTGCTGTTGTTGTTGTTTGTTGCTGTCATTTATATAGGAATAAAAAAATAAAAATAATTTTAAAACTAACTTTATTTTTGGACTACATCAAATTTTCGTAAATGTTGTCAAAATGTCATGTTGTCACATTTTTTCATAGAAGTTAAATTACCTGGTGACCACCTGGTGACCTGGTGACCCCTTCAGTTCTTCAAAAATAAGTCATAACTGCCTTCCTCCTGTGATGTTGTCAAAATGTCATGTTGTCACATTTTTTCATAGAAGTTAAATTACCTGGTGACCACCTGGTGACCTGGTGACCCCTTCAGTTCTTCAAAAATAATTAATTATTGAATAACCTAAAAACATGAGACTTTGTCTCCGGACTCTTTGAGTCACTTAACGAAACCATTAACGTAAACATTTATTTCTGCAGTTCATCCATTACTTCATTACCTAATTAATTACAGACATAAAATATATTTAGTTCATTCAATAAACACGGTACCATGCAAATACAGTCATAAATGGTGGCATGTAATCTTTACCCAAGCCTGTTGGATTTGTTGTGAAAGTATGGACATGATTTCCTCCTGGTTCAGTTGGTCGAAAAGTCTTTTTTGCTGAATGGTTATAATCTGGAGATAAAACATCATAGCCAGCTTCATATTCTGAGTTGTATAATGGATGGTCTCGTAATGAGTGGCTATGGTCGCCAGAAAAGTTTGTAGTTCCTGTATGAGTGTGCGGGGGTAAGTTTGCTTCTTTAATTTTCTTCGAACCTCCTGTTTCCTTTGAAGAGTTCGCACAATAGAGGAATTTATCTACAATCTGCTTCCACGTACCGAAACCCAGAACTGTTGCTGGATTTGTTGAGTTCATTGACGTATAAATAGTACCAATGGGGTAAATCATCTCAAGAATTGTATTTAATCCATTATGAATATTGAATTTATTATATAATATTGAATTTGGGTGAGTATTTAAAACTGGTCTTGTTATCAATATTAACGTATTATTTTTGAAAATTGCTTTTCTAACATCTTGAAATTTTGTGATTTCAGACCAGTTTCTTCCATCCCTACTGATATTTACTAAATCACCACATCCTAAAGCAATGAAATACCCATCAATATAAAATAAATTTGTAAATCTATAATTTTGAGTAAGTTTTGGAGTGAATGAATAAACCAATTCCCAATTTGATAAATCCTGTGATAAATAAATATGTCTGTTATAACTTACAGGATATGAATAGACCATTTCACCTGAAACGAGAACATAAACATTTGATCCATAACATAAAGCTTCAATGTCTCCATCAGCTTGAAAAATTTGTTCAAATTGACCTTGTGGTATTGAAGATGATCTATAAATTTTATCATTTTGTAGGATAAAATACATGTTGTTAATGTAATACCACTTACTTGTATAATCAATTTCCAAATCTGATGACATCATACTAAACATATAATAATTTATCCCATCCTCACTAATGAAAATTTGATTGACTTCATAAATTAGTACCCATTTATTATTAACGCATCTAATAGGATTATTTGAATATTTAAATTTAGCATCTTGATTTAAATTACATTTGAACCATTGGATACAATCGAATAAATTGGCGTATGTAATGGTCTGTGCCTTAAGTTGCTGTGGTTGCTGTTGTTTAATCATTTATTATGATTTAAAAATAAATATTTAATCTGTTATCTCATCACCTATTTTTTCTATTTGAAATTGCCATAATATTTCATTCATGAATTCTAAATCACAATCAAATAGGTCAGTTATTCTAAATTTAATATTTGATAAATCTTTTGAATGAAGAATAAATGAATTCCCAGATAATTGAAACGGATATGATAAAGAAAATATGTTTAAGTTGATGGATAAAATGTTTTGTATTGATGGGTAAGAGTTAGGGGCTAATGTTTGATGTGAAAATCTCATTGGGGTATTAACTTTATCACATTTGATTAAAATGAAATTGGAACCAGTGTCAGAATACAAAACATCCCCAACATCTTTTTCAAAATTTAATATCCCCAACAATGAACGAAGATGAGGAGTACAAAATTTAATTTTCAGCGGAAATTTAATAAGGTTATTTATTTCATCAAGTTCAAAAAGTTTATCGGTTTTGATTTAAAATTTTCTTCATACCATATGATAAATGATTCATTTAAATAACTTAAAATCATGTTAATATCCCATTTCGTTATCACATTATTTATATACATATCATACGTTTTTTCATGGTCATCTTTAATAAATGATATATAATCTGAAGGGTCTAAAAGAATGGGATTAAATTTACCACTCACAGAAACGAGAGTAACATTATAAATTCCGCTAACTGTTAAATTTAATTCACAGTTATTATTCGAAATAATATTGATAATTGACATTTTTATTACGATTAAAAATATGGTAAAGCGTTATTTTCCAGTGATAAATAAAACTAGAATAAGATTACCTCAAGAATTCATAAATTCAACGAATAAGAAATTCATTCATGTTATAAATTTTAGTGTTTTCAGAAAATATGAGTCAATGTCATATTCATCATCGGGTTATATTTCACTTCATTCAAATTTAGTTCAATCAAACCCATATAATGACCATTTCATAAGATTTTCAGATGGTATTAAAAATGTAATTGATAGATTAAAATATGAACAGATTGACAATATCGAATTTTTGGAATTTTGGTTTAAATATCCTGATGGAAAAAAGATTGAAGTTAAAGATAAAGCTGATACTATAACAAAAACAATTACAATGACCGATCCAGATAGTGGGGAACAAAAAGAAATAAAACAAACGATAGAAACTGGTGAAAGGTCAATTATTATTGATTATGATTCAAAGGATTATTATTCAATAATGTTAATGCTTGAATATTAAATAGCCTTAACAAAGAATTTTTCAAGTGATATTTTATATTCATCAACTATTTTATTATAAATATCATTATATGTTAAATGAAGTTCAGTTGTTGTTCCGTTCTTTGATATCTTAATTGTGCTAATATCCTTTATAGGATTTATTTTTGCAACTGTTCCGCAGCATGAAACCTCATCATCTATGAAAAATTGAATCTTAACGTCTGAATCTGAACATCACAAAGAATGGCGATAATGTGAATTAATGATTCATAAGGTAAAATAATTAAACCGGATTGGTCAATTAAATTTATTATTGAATCATAATTATTAATTATTATATCACGGTAAATTTTCATTAATTCAGAATTAATGTCTATTTTATATGGCGCATTGCGACTGTAATCGTAGATTCCTGGGTTCTCGATGTTTGATGAAAGAGGTGGGGGGTATGTTGGATAAGTGGGATTTCAACAGGTTCTTTACCGGGTTCAGATAAAATGATTGGGTCTCCATCTTCTTTATTTTGCTCCTCCTCTTTCTTTGGTAAGTCACGAGTTAATAAATTTGGTTGAGTTGCTGACTTGTTAATTCAGGGCTAACATTAACTTTAACATTTTGAATAATTCGTGATTTATCATCATTTACGTTATAACCAACCGTAATCTCTGCTTTTGCGTTAGTGTTCTTTTGACTTGTGAAACGTCTTCTCATTTATAATTGAATAAAAAAAAAAAATATATTTAAAGTTTTATTTAGTTGTTACGGTAATATCCCAAGGTTCATCATTGTTTGCTTATACTTTCTTTGTAACTGCACCAATTATGTTATTGATATTGCTTTGAGTTTCTTCCAGTCTTATTTTATCATTTACAATATCTTTAATCATTTCATTACATGCATTCTTAAAACCATCTGATTTTTCTAATTTACGTCTATCACTTTCTTTAATTAAATCAAAGTTATAACCTTGTTGAGAATAAAGTGGTTTCTTTATCAATTCCTTGAACGCTTCTGAAAGTGAAGATGAAGAAATTCTTGCCACTTGAATTGGTTTAAATTCTGCTTTCATTGCTTCTTTCTGTTCATTGAACACTGGATCGAATAAAGCAACTTTAAAGAATTTCTTAGCTGGAATTTCAGGTCTCAAATTTGCATATTGACCATCAAACTGATTAACATATCGTGGTAATCCATCCGGTCCCTCTTCAATAGCATTTAATTCTTCATTGAAATAAGAATATGGATTATGACGGTATGAATTAATTGGACCATGTTCACCTTCTCCAATGTATTGTTTAACAGCTTTTCCATTTTCATCAAATTGCATAGGATAACGTTCATTATATGCTTTACGTTTAGGATAATCAGATATAGTTAATTTATACCATTTATGACTTTAATATTACCTTGACCATCAGTAACGAAAACTTCATTTATACCATCAGGTTTTCCATTTGGACCCGTAATGTCTGCTTCGTGTGCTTCCCAATTTGGACCATGACGTTTGGCATATGCTTGAGCTTCTGGTAATGTTAAAACGTTTCTCATTTGTTTAACATCTTTTTGAAGACCGGCAACAATATGAACTAATTCTTTCATTCCGTCTGGAACTTTCATAGTTCTATTATATGCACCCTTTTTGTTTGTCCCTTGTTTTAATGGAACCTGTAGAAGATTTGCTATTTCTGTCATGTTTAATTATAAATAAAAAATAAAAATTAATTATAAAAAGTTAATCAAATTTAACACTTCCTTTATTTAAATCAACTATTATTTTTCCATGTTCACCTAATTGCTGATATTGTGTGTAAAGTTCATTAATGCTCATTGGTAAATTCACTTGATAAAGCATAACGTTCAACTGTTGACGACTAAACCCACTGAAAATGAAAAGGGTTGATAGATTTGATTTAATGTTTGTGTTTAATGCTTTGAAGTATTGAACAGCCATAAGAATGAACACTGAATGTGTCGACATTGAGTTAATAACTGATTAAAATATGATTTCTCATTTGTTATTAGTTTTGATTTCACGCATCATCTAGAAAAATGAGTGAATGCAAAAATTCTCTATCAAAATTTGAAATAGAAAGTGTTTCAAATAATTCATCCCGTTGTTTATCAATAATTTTATCCTCTAATCCTTGCTTCTTGATTGTATTATATAATTCTTTATACATTAAAAAGTTTTTTAAATAATCTTCTGCTTCTTCTTGTGATAAATAAATAATTGGAATTTTGATTAAATGCTTTAAAGATTCAAATGTATCATCTGAAGGTGAACCTGAACGGTTGATATAAATTAACACATGTGAATAGGGGGAAGTGTTAGCAATAATGATAATTTGTTTTAATATCGTTAATGTTTTACCTTTATTTTGTTTACCAATTGCTGCAGTGATTGAATTTAAGTAACATTCAGAATATGGAATTTTCATTAATTTTTCCTTAGATAGAGCATTTCTATTATCACTCAATGCTTCATTAATCATATCATCTACGTATGTATTATATACTCCTGCTAATTCTTCATAAGAATTTAAATCCATTTAATCAAAAATAAATTTATAATTTTAAACATTTCTATTCATCAATATTTCATCATATGAACTTCTATACTGTGGGTGGTGTACCTGTTGGATGATATTTCAAACCTTCATCCGGTGTCCATGTCCAATATGTAGTCCTAGTAAACCAAACCTGAGGAGGATTTGTCACTTTTGAACAGTAAGTGTCATTTTCACCCTGAATGATTGGATAAGCTTTCACTTGTACTGTAACTTGTGAGTTGAAAGTTTCTAATCCATCAAAGAATATACCCGCTCCATCACGTTGAACTGGAATAGTGCATAAGAATGAAGTTTGGTCTTTCCATGTTCTAGCTAATGGTGTGCCATCATCTCATTCAGTGGTCTAGTTAATGAGTCCTCGTATTCTTCCGTGCATTCATTCACTCCATCTAAATCAGAAGCTTGAAGCATACGTGTA